TGGCTGTCAGCTCTTCTTCATTCCTGTCAATCGTCAACTGAGTTGGTGTTGCGACATCGAGTTGGATGAGATCTGCTGGTCGTCTTCCGAATGCGAGCTCCAATGGTGTTACACCCCCGTAGGTGACGGTCTGATTCCTGACAGTTGCAGCGGCCTTCACTAGCTGCCTGTATGTCACTTTCTTCAGTGTCGCAGGTGCTGTACCTGCTTTGATGGACTTAGCATGATCTTGAGTTGTGCCTTCAGGAGTCGAACTGCTGCTTCAGCTCGATTTGGCCATGGTGTATTCGGTCCCAAGGATATCGGCGATATCGGTGTGATGTCAAGGGACTGATAGAAATGTTCCCATGTATCTGTCATGAAGGCTTGATCTGCGACAACTGATTTTTGGCTGCAAGTGGTACTGGTCAAAATAGTTCCTGAGGACAGTGATGTTCTCGGCTTCTTGCGTAGTTGTCACTAGAGGCAGTGAGCAATGTTGTTGCTCCATCCAGGATGACAAAAACAATGATGTGTTCTCCTGTTCCAAGAGGAACTTGACAGTGATCAATGAATGTCATGTCACCGAAGGTGTCCGCTCGAAGTCCACTTGTTTTGCTTCGTGATGGTGCATGTTTTGCCGCTTGGCAAACTTCACACTCACTTCGGATCTTGTCAAATAGATCGAATGTTGATTTCGGCAAATGAAGTGCTCGGGTTCTAAATCGAAATTGATCTGTTGTCATGTGATGATGCTGCAGGTGGAGTTTCTTCAACTCTTCGGGATTTGACAATCGCTTGTGGATTCTGCCTAGGGCAAGCGGAAGCGATGTTGGTTCTTCTGAGGATGGTGCGAAAGGATCTGGCTCAATAGTCGACCGGCCCCTCTTGTCGATGATCCTGTCTGCTGCCGATCCTGAACCTGCTTCTTCGTCCTTAAGCGAATTGTCCGCGAAGGTGAAAATGGTCTTACCTGTCCACAGGTTAATCATCGGTTTATTTGCCTGGGATGTAAGTCTCCAATTGTCTTCTAGAATGTCTGGATCTCCACCTGCGGATGCATCAATGATTTCCGTAGTACGTTCTCGGCTAATGTGATCAGGATTGATTGGACATTCCTTGGCTCCATTTGGTGTGAACAGCGCCTTTCGGGGCGTGATGTGCACACGGATGAGCTGCTTGTTCTTCTTGTCAAGGATCCAATGGTCCTGCTTTTGAGACCCAATGATCTTAGGAGTTGCTAGGTCCTCCTTTGTCTCGGATGATTTTGCTGCACAAACAGTTTCGCTCTTGGTGAGATCCCCGGAGGGAAACTTGATGCTGTTATCATCGTCATAGACATAGTTGTGAGGCCCTTGTGAGCAATTTCTCCATGCGCCTTCACTCTTGCAACTCCAGCGAGATCGACGAGTGCATGTCCTGTACCGGATACTGGAACTGCTTGACGGTTCATGCCAAAGGCTTTGCATGTGATCTTGTCACATTGAGGTGTGTGCTCGATGGTCATGTAAAGGTTCCGCATCTGGCTGAGCTGAGAAGGATTGGTACAGTTCCTTGTTCAAGGACGTCGATGTTCGTACTGCATGGAGGAGTTGTATGATATCGAAGATGTAGGGTCCAATTTACCCTGGCGGTCTCTCCGTTTGCAAAAGTGAACTTGGTCTCGGCCGGGATGTACTCATAGGAGATGATGTCCTTCATTGGTTCGATGGCCTGAGTAAAACGCTGGATTGCATGCCAGCTGCCCATAGATCTGGTACATCCATTGTCCAGAATCGCGTAGGTCGGGTTGTGCTGAGGGTTGATGACAGGCGCCATCAGCTTTGTTGCCAGAAGGCTGTGATTTGTTGTGACGGACAGATTGTGTTCTGAAACTGTATCTGATTGGATCAGCTTCTCACCAGGATGCTCATATGCATCATGGAATGCCATTAACGCTTGTCCTGTGCTGGATGTCTCATGGGATGAGTACCAGCCATGTTCGTTCCATGTCCATGATTGATCCCAGTCTTGGTCTGTCCAACCGGCATAGGTAGGCTCTATGGATGCTGCAGTCTGCTGGATGCTCCTCCGTCTTCTCTGCGGTGGCTGCGAGCGTCTTGGATTTTCCTTTCTCCTGTCCGCTCTTTCCTTTGCCACTCTCATAGGATGGATAACCTTTGTTTCCATCATAGGGATATTGGAATGTTGATTTTCCTTTCTTTCCCTTCTTTCCTTTGCCTTTTCCCCAATATGCCTGGTCGGGATCATAGTTTTCGTTGGCCATATTGGCCTTTCCGCCAGAACCGCTTTTTCTGAAGGGTTTGAAGCCACCTCGTTGGTGACTGCCCTTTTTGTTTCCTGATGTTCCTTTTCCTTTTCTCTTCTTGAACTTGAAGTTCCGCCCCGACACTTTTCTTGCTATGAACGCATCGTTCTCCTCGAGGACCCAGAACGTCTCTTCATCGTTGTTTGACATGAATCCTTCAAGTCCTTCTTCATCCTCAACCCAGAAGCCTTCTTCTCCTTCGTATTCACCTTGTTCGATGATGAAGAATGTGTTGCTGCGGTTGCCTCCTTGAGGTCGGATGGATGGATCTTGGATCGATGTCCTCGTCGTGATGAAGAGTTCATGGTAGTGCGTCTTCAGCATCTCATAAGGGTAGTTTTCTAGTGAGATGTTTCTTAATGACATTGCACTTGTCAGTGTCTCTCGTTGCTGATCTGACAGCTCACTTTGAATAATGAAAAACTGTGCAATGAGATTATCCCCGAAGGGAAATGCGTCCCGCTGTCTGTCCTGCATTCCTTGGATATACTGTCTGAGGACTGCCGGATCGTCCTCATTGAGCAGGGCTGGAGGCGGTGCTCGAACACCGGCTGCTTGCTGATGTCGAGCAATTGTTCTTGCATTTGCGTCCTGTACGGACTGTCGAAATGATGGGGACTGTGCCGTGAAAACGGGCATCAAGTCCATCCATGCTGCCTTCAATCTCATAAGAAGGATTTCGAATTTTGAGGTAAAAATGAGGAACTCTTGGTTCTGCCTTCTATGGTTGAAGAAACTGAGGAGTCTGTACAGATACACGTTGGTCGCACCCTTCAAAAAGTACTTCTTCAGCGTGTTCTTGAAATAGTTGACTCCTTCATCAGGATCTTGCAAGAGGTCGTTTTGGAGGACTGCCTTGTACATATATGCATCTCCGGTCAATCTGCTTTTGAGGAGAGGTCCTCTCTTGGGTGCTTCCACCGTTGTGATGGTCACCCAGTCGTCCACGAGTTCTTCATACCTGAACCAGCTGACTTTTCCGTCGTACGATGGCGGCTGCTTGGCGGTCATCGATAAATTTAGTGTTTCCTCCGTATAGCCTGGATTTTTGGCCATACTTGAATAGGCTTCCATGAAGCCTTCTCCATCGGATGACATCTTCCCTTGGATTTCTGCGGAAAACCCGCTCCGCTACCACAAATTTGACCACTGCCCCAGGTGCCTATCCCAGAAGGGAACTGGTACCCTGTGGTAGTAGAGGTCGTTGTTGGTCATCTATTCCGGAGAGAGTCCAATATGCCAATGTGGATGATTGGAGGATGGATTGTCCCTGGTGGAGTGTCTTGTGGATAATCCTGTAAGCGGCCTGCAAAGGTTCTTTTGCTTCACGCGATCATTGATGATGCAATGATATACACAAAAGGGGCCTTGAGCCAAATGGTTGCGGGAGATCAACTGGATTGGGAAACAACCACAGGGGGTGGGGGGGTGGCTCAAGCACTGTCGAATGAATCGCAGCAGACATGATGTGTGTCGGTTCTAACTTTGCTGATTCAGCTGGCTCAGATGTCTCCAGATTCATGCCTGGCTCTCGCTTTGATTCTTCTTCTCCGTTTGGCTGGAAATTCAGGAGCCTTCGGTGAATCCCGCTTTCTTGGTTTGGCTTCCATACTTAGATTCTCTGCTGGATAATTGCTTGCACTCAGACGCCGGACCCTTTCTTTTTCTTGTGGCCTCCATTGAACTTCATTGACTTGGGCGCCCCGAGACCTCCAACGGAAAGCTTGCCTCAGGCAAGGGTCCGCAAATCCCCTATTATGGAACCCTGTAGCGCGCCCTGTTTAAACCTGGATGTTATGGTGAAGAAGACCCTTGCAAGCATTGTTGCAGATGACTCTTTCTAACAAGCTGCCTGCCCTGCCAGGCGCCGCTTTCAGAATTTCAAGCTGCTGATGCTCGTCAACAATCCGAGAAAGTCAGTCTGTACCTTCCGGGATGGGAATCAGGTGTGGCTCTGCTGCAAAAGCGGCCTGCCAGCTTCGGGTTTTCTGTCGCCCCAAAAAGAGCGGCAGTGGAAAGACCAGCGGCCAAGCCGGCAACGCAATGCATCAAGCCGTGGTTGCCGTGGCGTCTGAAACTTCAATGCAGAAGTATCCGAATATGTTTACATGTGGATGTGGAGACAGCGTGTGTTGAAGGAAGGAGGCTTGAAGCCGGCCTTTCTCGACAAGCTGCGCGGCATCAGGTGAAAACAGTGCTGCGGACGAAGTAGCATCGTTTCGACGCAATTCTACACACAACGTGAACCAGCCAACCCCACGAATCCTGGTAAAACACAGTCATTTGCAGCTGTCAGGACTCGGGTTCGCGCCACGGCGCGAACCCGAACCCTTTAGCCTTGTTAGCTATAGCTTTCAACCGGATTAGAAGGCGGCCGCAACCATTTATGGTTGGGATTGCCCCTTACTAGCCTTCATCTACCCGGGCCCTGATTGTAATCCCAAGATTCCTCTGGGTCCACTAAAGTGGCTGTTTCAACATGATCCGGCCAGAGCCCTCCCATCCACAAACCCCTGTCGTGGGTCGATGGCAATGTGAATCCTGGTGAGGATACGTCTCAAAAAACGGGGGCTTCTCTGGGAGTGCTTTTTTGAGCATGCTCAAGCAAAAGGCAACCAACATCAAATGGAGGGGGCCCAGGGTGCGTTTTTCTTTCCAAGCGCCGCCGAAGCTTCGCATTTCGGACGTCGCGCTTCGCATTCGTCCGAGCGGCAAGAGGCGCTGTGGAAGCAGCGGTTGCCGGCGAGGGCAAAGATGCAAGGCTTGCGGCAGAACTCCGGGTGGCCCACGCTGCCCGCGTTCTGAGGATGATGATCAACCCCAATGGACCCAAAAACGCCCACGATCTAGGAATCCAGTCTTCAAAATGAAAACGGGTTGCCAGAAATACAGGTTGGTTGACCCCCCAAATTCCATTTTCCCCACATAAAAAATTTGCACCAAGAGGTTCTTACGGGAGGAGTCAAGGTTTAGATCGAGGTTCGCGCTTGGTTCGCGCTAGGTGTGCGCAAAAAATCGTTTTCGGTGCGACAGCCTCGCACGAAATGGAGGTTCGCGCTGGCACGTGCGTCTCGCTGTGGCGCCGTTCACATTTTTAATTTTGGCTGGCAGGGGAGGTTGGCGCGATGATCTGTTTATCGCCGCGACGCGGGGGTGTGTTTTTTGAGGAAGCCTCGTGCCAAACTCATTTTTGCTTCTTTTTGTGGGAGAGCTGCGCATGAAACGGACCTTTCTTCAAAACTGCGCTCTCGCTGTGGCGCAGCGCTGATCTTCGGATTTGTGTTTTGCCGCAAGAATTCCATGGCCAGCGCAGCAGTCTGTGAGACTGCCGCGCGTGTTTCGCGGCGGGCGCAGTATGTCTTGCGCTGATGCTATAGGATGCGTGGCAGGCGCAGCATTTTCATAAACAAGGCCTGTGAATTTCGTGGCAGGCGCAGCGTTTCACTGATTTGCAAGCGTTGCGAGACGAAAGTGAACCCTTTGCCGAGATCGTGCGTGTCGAAGCGCTCTCGCTGCGGCGCCGTGCGAATTTGTCTTGAGCTCGGTGAACCCTCTGCGATATCCTGCGTGTCGAAGCGCTCTCGCTGCGGCGCCGTGCGAATTTGTCTTGAGCTCGGTGAACCCTCTGCGGAGATCCTGCGTGTCGAAGCGCTCTCGCTGTGGCGCCGTGCGAGTTTGTCTTGAGCTTGGCGAACCCTCTGCCGAGATCCTGCGTGTCGAAGCGCTCTTGTTCTTTGCTGGCGAATCGGTGTTTGGAAGTTGTCTCGTGGTTCGCGCGTCTGCTTTCACGATCGCGCGTTATCTCAGGTTCCACCTGCTTGGTCCGCAACTCTTAATTACGAAAGTAGCACGCGAAGAGCAAACCCAGAGCTCCGGCTGCAATTTTGCACAAAAGTAGTACGCGCAGTGCGCTTCTGCAGCTACGTTTAAGTACAACAAATAGTGTGCGACTCCCACAGCTCCGGCTGACCAATCGCAAGTTTTAAGTACCAAAGTAGTACGCGAAGTGCAGCTCCGGCTGAAAAGTCGCAAGTTGCAAGTGCAAAAGTTCTGCAAAATCGCAACTTTGAAGTGCACTTCTGCCATGTGTGGGGGTTAGGCTATGTTCTATAGAGACTTATAACCCAACTTATTACTTCTACATCCTAACTTATAATCCAAAGTAAGTTTCGCAAGTCTCTATACAACTTAGCGCAAGTTCTATAGCAACTTAAGGAAGATACGATAGATGTTAGTGTAAGTTCTATAGAACTTATAAGGACTTATCGCTAAGTTCTAGTAAGTTCTAGCCTAAGTTACTTAAGGAACTTAGGGAACTTAGGTGAACTTAGCTTTTTTGCATGATTTTTAGAAATTTAGGCACGCGCTGAAAAAGCGAGCGGGGCTTTTTCCACACAGCCGCGCTTTGCTGCACTGAGTCTTTGCCAGTGTCACCAAGCGATGATCTCGACAATGTCGCCGCGCCGCTGCCACCCAAGAGCGAGGCGCAGGCCGTCTTGCAAGCAGTGCACTTTCACAGGCGAATCTCTCCGCTGACGCCACGTTGAGAAGGTCGTGGACTTGGACAGGAACTCGAGCGGCACCACCACAGCTGCCATGCGCTCGTCGACGCGCAGCCCGCAGACCAGGGAGACGGGGACGCCCCGCGCCAGGACAACGTCGTCCGCCGTGTAGAGGTCTTGTTTCCAATAAAACTGATGAGACGCCAGAATGCTCGTGTCGTCTTCGCACAAAACCTCGCCGCGCAACAGAGCATCCTCCCGCGCAGCGCCCGCGATGTGCGCGGATGCGAGAATGCTGCGGGCAAAGATGCCGCGCTCGAAGCCAGGGCCCGAGCGCGAGTGCGAGGCGTAAGCCTTGAGTAGCCGGTGCTTGCGCTCAACTGGGCAGCAGTCCAGCACCATGCCATCGCGCAAGATCTGCGGCCCGAGATGATAACCACAATCTCGGCCCCATGCCGCCTGCAGCGCATCATGGTGCTGAAGATGCTGAAGGTCGCGGCGCTCGCGGCGTTCACCGGCAAGCCTCCAACCTTCAAGCCCTGGTACAGGCCCAAGATGTCCCGCACTCTGAACAGGGAAGCGGTCTCTCGTGGCATGACATTGCGTGTCACCTTCTCCACAAACAGCGGCGAGGATGGGATATGCCGCCAAAGTGCTCGGCCGCGGCGGGCTTCCACGTTGCGCCAGCACCCGAAGCGCGCTCCGAACGCTGGCCGTGACATGCCAGAGCGACAGTGGCGTGGCGGCCTGCAGCGCAGGCAGACACTGCTCAGCTTCAAGCAGAGCAACGCCTTAGTCTCGCTGCCTGAAGATCTGCGTGTGCAGGACGCCTAGAGGCTCGCACGGCACGCCGAACGCCTTTTCTGCGGCCTCAATCTTCACGGAGCTCGTCCGCCGTTTGCAAGATGGTCTCGGACAGTCTCGGACGTGAGCGACAAAGAGGGCCGCTGTTGTAGATCGTAATCATCCCAGCGCTGCGCGGCCAACAGATATCTCTTCTCGGACACGTTCGCGCGCGCCAGACACGGCTTCCGTCCAGCAGGCCTTTGAAAGCGAAGCACGCCCGGCTGCCAGGAATTTGGCGATGCATAGCGGCAGTCTGCTAATATGACTTGCATGGCGCGTCAAGAGACGCTGCCACCAGCAAAAAGCGCGCCTTGAATTCCTCGCTGCGCCCACAAATGGCCAGTGGCATCCAAAAAGTTTCTGCGTGGGGGAGAGCTCGAAAGGCCCGAAGTTCAAGGTGCGCCGCCTAGAATTTGCGGGGGTTGTCTCTGGATAGGACGTTGCCCGGAGCGATTTCGTCGAGGTATTAGACGGTGTCCGCCGCTTGTTTGTGTCAGCTCGGCGAGTTGTCTCGGAGATACGGCGTAGCCGCAGGTAATAGGATCCACAAGCTAGTTTGCGCGTCAGCATCTCGGCGAGTCCCTGATGGCGCTGACTGGGCTCTGTGCGCAGAGCGTCTTCTTTCGGGCAAAGGTCATCACGGGAGCGCTTCATGCTCGCCGCTTCTGATCCAAATGCCTGCGTGCACATTTATGGTGCGCACCGCAACGCTTTTTATCCGTGGGCGCCAGCGCCTTATCCTGCCGAGTATAGACTTGTGTTCCGTCGCGTGTGTTGCGCAGAGCCAACAGCACAGCGAAGACTTATATCTGTATGCGCCGGCATCAACGCGTGCCACTGCTGCAACGACAGCGACGGGCCTACGCCTACCACGCATGAAAAGGCGTCCCTACAGTCTACAAACTGGAGCCGCGCGGCAAAGCCGCATGCGACGGTCTACTGCCTGCCTGTCGAGGAAGTGAGGGTTCGAGGGCGCGTCCGGCGCAGGGATCCAGGTCTCCTCCGCTTGCTTCAAGACTTCTCCAATGTCTCTCTCTGCGTCGCAAGCTCAGCCAGCTGCTGCGTAAGCGAGTTCACAGCCGGTGGACAGCCCATAGCTGGGCCGTAACTTACGGGCGGCTTCGCCATTCACGTCGCTCCGCGGCCACCATGCAGCATCTCGTATCTCGTGGCTCGTTTGCGTGACAAACGTGTGGAGCCACTCCCGCAAAGGCCTTCAGGACAACTTTGCGAGCGCAGAGAGCCCATTGCCTTGGAGACACTGACCTCCTTGCTGGGTCTGGAAGGACAGCTCGCCCGCAGCACGCAGTAGAAGTCCTGGATAGTCAGCGGTTCCTATCGTGACTTTGCCGCCGCTTCGCCGCGGCCTGCGCCCTTCCGTTTCCCATGCTCTTTTGCGACTTTCCTTACTTCCGCCAGCGGCTCGGCTTTTGTCGCGGCGGACTTTTTGGGCGACATATCGAGCGAGGTACCTAAGCAAAGCCAGAAAGCGATACGAGGCAAACTGAAAGTGTTGGACATGGGTGTAACGTGTACTAAGACATGGCGCACCAAACCAATCTCGACGCGCGTGTTTGATAAACTGCGTCAATCGCGGGGTTGCCATGATGCACGCGAGTGGCCATCAAAGAGCATTCACGACCAATGAACTCCGCAATCTTGCCCAAAAATCATGGAAGGCAACAACTAAGTTGTAGATCCATTCGCAGTCATAACATGACTCTCGTCAAAAGTAGATGAGGCGCTGGCCCAAGCACTGTCCACGGCGGCAAGAGCCGCCAAACAGACCTTTGTCGCACACAAGCGCGGACATATTGTACCTGACTCACTGTCTGATGAAAGTGGCATCAAAGACTCATGTGATTCATATTCCAGATAGCATGGAGCCCAGCGCAAAAATTGGGACTTCTCACCACCATTCTCGACACACATTGCATAGCTGTGCGCAGAAGTCTGGTAATCTTGCATCACTTTCTGTAGTTGCACGAACTGAATTGCTGCGAAATGCCAATGCATTGGTTTGACAAAATGCATCATTAGGATTAAATCAGCCGTGAGTTATTTGAGGATAATCCTTCACTGCAAGGGTCTTCACGGGAAATCTCAAGATGAAGGGGCAACTGATACTGAAAGTATGCTTTGCCAAATGGTCATATTGAAGGTCCACTATGTACATTAAATGGTTGCATCCTCTTTGTGAATATGAATTTCTTAGTATAAGTCAAATCCAAACAAATCTGTTGACAAATCACATATGTATCTGTCGGGGCTAGTATCAAGCAATGAAATCAATCATACATCACAAGAACAATTCATCGATTATAATCATAGTACTTTCAGACGACAACCACAAAAAATACCATGATGGCATTAGATATACAATCATCTCATGTGAATTGAAAACACAAATCTGAAACCATAAAAACATTGTATTGTTAATGACTATTTTTCGT